TGGCAGAGCTGTCCCAGTGGCTCATTCAGAAGGATTGAATGTGTACTTCCCCATTTTAAAAAGAAAGGTGAGCCAAAGATTTCATTAACCAGGGAAGTGTCTTAAAGGTTGACAAGTTTGACAACACATTCTTCCATTGAACTCGTACCAATTTAGATGGCAGGAATCATATTTTCTTCTTGCTACATGGAGAGTCATATATGTAAATTCCACTAAATATAATGAGAATAGTGCTTTTTGCAATGGAGCCAAAGATTTAGCCATACGTTGTAGTCTTATCCTGCTCTTCTGTTACAGTGCCTTTGAAAATAATGGAGCAAACTTCTAGAAGGCCTGACCCCAAGTGGGCAAAGATTTGGGACTCAAGGTCTTTAACAGAAAACTCCCAGGACTCATTATTTTACCTTGATCATAATACATAGTTTTCCTAGGGTAACCTCTTTGGTGTCATACCCCTTGCATGTGTAATGCCGGCTTTCTAAACAGCTTAATACCAAGCACTCCTCAGCAACCCAACCCAACCCTACACTAACATGGCAGGGCATGTGCAATGAAGGAGAACAATTTCAATAAGCAAACAGGTGTAGACTGAGTGATTATAAAGAGTGAGAAAACATGATTTTTAATATTATGAAATGTACATTAGGTTATCTATAGGTTATTAGATTGTTACACTAATCTGCAGTTTGATGAACACATGCAAGCCTCTTCACTGACTAGTGGATGCATACTGTAGTATACTTACCACCAGGGAAAAAGCACAGCAGTGAGTAGGAGAGTATCCAGAGGACATATTCCCTAGATAGTAAGAAAAACAGAGAAAAGTAGAATTCTGATATGGGAATAATCTTGGCTCTGATACTCCAGGATTGTTGCTTAGTTAGCATAGCAAACATTACATTTTTGTTATGTCCCATAAATCATCCCTGGCCATAATGTTTTTATCCAGATTCAAATTGATACCCAGGTTAGACTCTCAGTTGGAATCATCTTTTAGTGATGGGTGTCAGCCGTGACTTTTGGCTTCAGATCTGAACTTCCCCACAGTTTGAGGTGATTCTGGATCTGGTGTTCCTATTCAGGCCCTTCTGGGGTATGTTCATCGAAGGAAGTTAGCCATTGTGTACATAGACATAGTCTGGTGTTGACATTACTCTCTGCTCCTGTAGCACCACCCGATGAGCTGCACTGCAGTAAAGTTTACCTGTTCATTTTTGCAGTGTCCCAGTCACTGTGAATCCTTTCACTCCATTAATGTCACCATGCACTCCATTAGCTGGGGTGGTTTTCCCTGTACAGAGAACAAAGACACAGAGGGAATGGGGAATGATTTCTGTTGTCCAGGGGAATTTATCCAAAGGAGGATGAAGGGAATAAGTTTTCTATTCCATCCACTCACTATTGCTGTGGTTCAGTCTATTCTATCTGTTAATTATTTCACAATATTAAACATATGTAAAATGAAGGATTTCATTTTCAGCAGGGTGTGGGGTGGATGAAATTCCACAACTCCCTTCAGGACCAGCCTTGGATCTAGGGTTGCCAACTTTCTAATTGCACAAAACCGAACACCCTTGCCCCGCTCCTTCTGAGGCCCCACCACTGCCCTGCCCCTTCTGAGGCCCTGCCCCCCACTCACTCCAGCCCCCCTCCCTCCGTCACTCATTCTCCCCCACCCACCCTCACTCACTTTCACTGCGCTGGGGCATTGGGTTGGGTGCAGGAGAGGTGAGGGCTCCAGCTGGGGTTGCGGGCTCTGGGGTGGGGCTGGGGATGAGGGGTTCCAGGTGTTGGAGGAGGCTCAGGGCTGGGACAGGGGGTTGGAGTGCAGGAAGGGGTGCGGGCTCTGGGAGGGAGTTTGAGTGCCGGAGGGGGTTCCGACCTGGGGCAGGGGGTTCAGGTGCAGGAGGGAGGTTGGGGTGCGGGCTCTGGCCGGGCAGCGTTTACCTCGGGTGGCGGTGCAGGAGGCTAAGGCAGGCTCCCTGTGGCTCCCGGAAGTGGCCGGCACGTCCGGCCTGGTTCCTAGGTGCAGGGGCGGCCAGGCAGCTCCCCTCCTGCAGGCGCCGCCCCTGCAGCTCCCATTGGCCGCGGTTCCTGGCCAATGGAGCTGCGGAGCCGGTGCTCGGGGCAGCACGTGGAACTTCCCTGATCATTCCTGCGCCCAGGGGCTGGACCTGGCGGCCACTTCTGGGGAGCTGCACAAAGCCAGGCAGGCAGGGAGCCTGCCTTAGCCCTGCTGTGCTGTCGACCGGACTTTTAACAACCCGGTCAGCGGTGCTGACTGGAGCCGCCAGGGTCCCTTTTCGACCGGGCATTCCGATCGAAAACTGGATGCCTGGCAACCCTATTTGGATTTTTTAGTGTCCCAAGTGAGGCAAGTATTATAGACACTATCACCGGCTTGCTGGCCCTTTAAGGGCAGTCACGCTCAGCCTTGCCTGTGAGCTAGCAGTTAGTCCCCAGCTGATCCTGCAGTGGGTGGCTTAATTAACATTAGTGCCCTAGGCTGTGAAAGGGTCAGGGTGCACTACAGAGAGAGGAGAGCTCGTTCAGGAGAAGATGACTCAGCAGATAGGAGCACTCCAGGGGGAGGAAATAGGGCCTGGTGAAGTCAGGTTGGAGAGAACTGCAGAGAGCAGGTGAGGCTCCTGGGGGTGACCCTGAGGTGAAAGCTGTATGAAGCCGGGAGATCCTTGGCAGAAGCTGTCAGTGCCTAAGGAGGGAAGATAATGAAGCTGCTAAGAAGGGCCCCTGGGGAAAAGCCCTGGGATGCAGGGCTCAGCCAAAAGAGCAAAGGTGGAATGCTGCAGTGCCTGGGAGCAGGGAACTTCAGCATGGCCTGAGGGGCAGGAGGGTCATTTGTTTTGCTGTTTGTTCAAGTTTGTTAGTCGGCCTCTCCTTATGTGGGAAGAGGACTGAACTTAAATGTGACCTGGCTGCAGGACTAGGCTCCTGAAGATAGAGAGCGAGGCCACTGTGTGGCCTAAGAAGTGATCACCCCGAGGTGCTAGCCATGTAGATCCCTGCAATACCATGACCTAATGCCAAGAGATGCTACAGTGGTGAGTGGAACCACTTGCAGATGCCCACCTAGGGTCAGAGATCAAGGTGACACCTGTGAGTCTTTGCTGCTGCTGTACATTTCATGTGCTCCTAAAACTGCTCCACAGGTCTTCCCAAGCACTAAGCTAGCTGCACAGCCACAGAAACCACCTCGTTCCAATCAGACAAATAAGGGCTTAAACCAGAATAGGAGCCTTTTTTACTGGGCCTTTGTGGAAGGGGTTAGTTTAGACATGTTCCTTTTGCTTAACATTATCGCAACCCCAACAAAGGAAACAATACTCTCTCTTCCTCCTTACGCCCTTATGAATATCTGTGGTGGCAAAAATGAGACGCGTGGTTCTTCACTAATGCAACTCCACTGGTGGCAGGAATGGTGGAAATGGTAGTGTAGACAGGGCTCTGAATCTTTTACTACCATGTCAGTGATATGATAGGACTCAGGAGTTTTTACTATCTACCCTCTATCACCTGGTGAATTGTCTCTCCCCCCTGACGCACCAGTTTAGACAAAGCCTTAAAGTAAACCCCTCAAGAACTAGCATGGGGGGAGGGGGGGGAGGATTAGTGGTCTTATACTTACACCTCAATGTTGAGTTGTAGGAGTAGACTTATTTTACTTCTCCTCTGTCCCACCCACACCTACAGTTCATTTCTTTAAAGTTACCCTTCCTGCTTCCCCTGTCCTCCATACCAGTGGCTCTCAACCTTTCCAGACTACTGTACCCCTTTCAGGAGGCTGATTTGTTTTCTGTACCCCCACGTTTCACCTCATTTAAAAACTACTTGCTTACAAAATCAGACATAAAAATACAGAAGTGTCACAGCACACTAGTACTGACAAATTGCTTACTTTCTTCTTTTTACCATATCCTTATAAAATACATCGATTGGAATATAAATATTGTACTTATATTTCAGTGCAGTATTTGTGCCTGTTTTTCACTTGTGAGCCTTGTCTGAAGTCAGAGCCCCAGCTGGCGGGGTTGAAGCATGTAACTTAGGCCTGGTCTACACTACGACTTTAATTCGGATTTAGCTGTGTTAATCCGAATTAACCCTTCACCCGTCCACACTACAGAGCCAGTTAATTCGAATTAAAGGGCACTTAAAATCGATTTCTGTACTCCACCTCGACGAGCGGAGTAGCGCCTAAATCGATTTTGTTAATTCGAATTAGGGTTAGTGTGGCCGCACACCACCGAATTAATGTGGTTAAAAACCGAATCAATGTGCTTAGTGTGGCCGCGCACAATCGAATTTATACAACCTGTTTCCCAAATTCGAATTATCTAAATTCGGATTAATCCTGTAGTGTAGACATACCCATAGCTGCATGGGGCCCCAGGCAATTGCTCTGCTTGCCACCCGCTAATGCCAGCCCTGCACTTGTGACCCACTCCCAAACTTGTCCTGTGACCCTCCCAGGGGTCACAACCCCCAGGTTGAGAAACACTTATCTAGATGAGTTGATGTACCCCTGGGGTATGTGTGCCCCTGGTTGAGGACCAGGACTGTATGTCAAAGGCTGAAAGAGGGGGTTGCTAGTCTCTGCTCACCTTTCTTCAGCTGGCAGGCAGTTTAAGCATAGAGGTGCCCTGACCTTTGTGCTAATTCTGCTGTGCTCCTAGCCTGAGCCTCCTGTTGTTTCTCAGAGTGAGCTGATTAAGGCAGGAGTCAGCAGCAGGGTGAGGCAGGGGAAGAAAGGATTTTCAGCCTGGAGGCCGTAGGGTTGGACTTGCTCCATCCCAGAGCCTTGACTCAGCTGCTTCTATTCTAGTCCTAGATTGTACCTGCTTCCTAGCATAGCATCTCCTGCAGACCATCCTGAATGACAGGGGACTGACCATTCTTTGCTGCAGAACATCTCAAGAGGAACCAGTGTATTAAGGGTTAAAGCTGGGTGATGATGGCCTGATTAGACTCACCTGAGGGCCCTTCCTTCATGCTGGAGATCTCAGAAAACATCTACAGGGTGGGGCAGTTTTGTCTCGCTTCTTTTCAAAGAAGGTTAGCTCAGCCTTAAAAAAAAAAAAATTCATCTTGTCCACTGTCAGATGATGATGGTGTGTTTTCTCTTTGTTGCCTTATGGGGAGGATAAGTGGATCGTGGGTGTGGCTGACAGTTTTCTGAATTAATTCCTTCCCTGCACCTGTCCTGTTGTTTTAGCTATCTACTTGGCACAGGGCTTGTCTCAGACTCAGACTTCTTAGTAGTATGCACCACATGTTAATAATGAGGTTGTCTTTGTGGCTGCCTCCCCTCCCATTAGTGATTGCTACAGCACTTCCTTGTGTGACGAAATATTACGAAAACTTGGCTGTTTTTTTTTTTCTCCTCCTCTCAATAAATGAATCTTAGCAACTGGAAGCCAGTTCCAGCTGACCAGCCTGCTCTCTGCAGTCCAGCAGTGCTGCCGTCTATTGGTCACAAGTAGTGTGCCTCTGAGCTATGTGAGTTGCCTCTAAGACCCTACAGTAGATGCCCTCCGTCTGACACATGGTTATATAGACCATTGGTAGCACTAGGTTAAAAACTGTGAACGTTAAACTCTTGTGACCCAAGTCTGGCTGAGCTGTGCTTAGCACAGGACCCCAAGAGGGAAGGTGCCTTTTATGCCACCTTTGCTACTCCCTCATGCAGGGGCCAGTTCAGCCCCAGTGAGACCTGACTGCCTGTAGCCCCATGTACAGATACCGTGGCCATGCCCCTTTTTTCTCTACTCATACCAGAGGAAGAAGGATGCTGTCACAGGGACTGCTGCAGTGTCCCGTCCCCCATGCCTAAATATTCCACTTGCACAGGAGGGACTTGCTGTTGGCTGGGTGTTCCACCTCTGTGCACAGGGGCTGTAGCAGCAAGGAGAATAGGCCCTTTGGGGCAAATTCAAACTGCTGGAAGGGCATGTAACTCTACTGAAGTCAATCAGTCCGCACCTGCTTGCAACAGTTCTGAGGCCTGGCTCTTTTTTCAATGCAACGTCTTGCTTAGGGCCTGATTTTCCCCAAAACTCGCTGAAGTCAATGGAAACCTCCCCACTGACTTCAGTGGGTTTTGGAACAGACCCTTAGTGACCTTTCAAATGTCATTTCCTTGAGTAACATAGGTGCAGGCTAAAGAACCCAATAAATGGGGAGGCTTTTACTTAAACCAAGCCTGCTCATTCTTCTGAGTTGTTGCAGCTCTAGTTGATTTGCTTCCACTTAAAAGCCCCATAGGACTTCTTTCTCATAGATATGACTATAAAAAGCTAGAAAACAAGGAGCCTGGTAATGCAAGCCATCTCTATCTTAAGCATGTGTAAATCATCCATCACTTGAATATCTAGCCTAATTTCACTGTATTCCCGTTAGTTTTCTTCTGACGCTCAAGCTTTGTGTAAAGAGAAGCAAGGTCTTGACCGCCTTGTCTACATGAGAAAGTTTCACTGGTTTAACTGTAGGACTGATTTTTAAGCTGATCTAGTTAAAACAGTGTAAACATTCTTAAACCAACATAAATGTCCACACAGGGGTTTGCAACTGCTTCACTAAATTGGTTTAAAATAATACCGTTCGTTAAACCAGTGCGATGTTCTTGTTTAAATCAGGCCTAAGAGGGCATTTCAGGTAGGGAACTTGTTAGAGTGTAAACCTCTAGGGGCAGGGACTGTCTTTTTGCTCTCTTTGTACAATGCCTAGCACAATGCGGCCCTGGTCCATGACCCGGGTTCCTAGGCGCTATGGATATATGTAATAAAGCAGGATTTACAATGAATGATTTCCAGTTACGCTGTCACATCTAAGGGTTCTAAAATGCCACGTAAGATGACACTAACTAGCTTATGGTATTAAGCCCCTTACTCCTTCTCTTCTTTTTGATAGATGTTTTTTAACAGTGCAAGATGGAGCAACACTTCCTTCATTTCAGTCTTATAAAGTGTTGTTTTGTTTTCTTAACCTGCATTTGAAAAACTACCAAAATGTGGTGGGGTTTTCAGTGAAGAGTAATTCCCAAAACAATTGTAAAGGCCAGTCAGGTCTTGTTACTAACCCTAACCTTCTGAAGGGAAACTGTTTATTTTAATTTAAAACATGGAAAAGTACTTTTCAGCAGCCCTAGGCAACTTTTACAGCAATTAAAATATTGCACCATATAAAAATTGCAATTCTAGAAGCTAATTAAATTAGCCTAACCCAGCAATAAAACTGAGTCAGACAGCTTGACAATTACCCACAGCTTTCCCAAATGCCTGAAAAAACACGTGGGCCTTGTATCCTGGCCTGGAGATCGATAGATTCAGATTATTTCATACTGTGTGTGGCGGGGGGGGGAGGTGTAAATTCCAAAGCTATATGGGCTCTTCATGCCCCATGTTGACAATAGGAAAATAATTTCTTTTAAAACATACAATCTATTTTCCTAATCTGACATAGATACAAGAACAGCCCGTCAGCAACCTTCCCTTCAGTTAACCCAGGGGAACTCCCCTGAGAACTTTTGCTGATTAGAACTGTCAGAGTAACAGGAAGAAAAATAATTCTTTAGGTAGATATGTTCCAGGCCATGTTTGACCCAGGAATCAATAAGCAGCCATTGGATGGTGGGTCAGCAGATCATAGAGAGCTGGTATAGTGTGCTCCTACTGTGATGTATCAGTTTTGGTCACATTTTGATACCTTATCATCTAAAACAGTGGTTTTTCACCCAGAACCCAAAATCTAGCTGTGGCTTTTTGCAGCAATACACCCAAATGCTTTGGCTGCAGATGATTGGGGGTGGGGTGGGGGGTTAGGGTCTGGGTGAGAAATGAGAGTTGGCTTGGGGATACTGGGTGGGTTCAGTTGGTGAGGCTGGTAGGGTGCTGGGGTGGGGTGGACCTGGGAAGGGTGGCCCTATCATGAGCCATCTTTGTGTTGTGCCTCCCTGGTTACAAAGTCCTGATCTACAGTCAGCTGTGGCTCTAATAGAACCTCTAAAGTAAACTGAACTCCAGTAATGTACAGTGGGCACACACCGCCCTTAAGAGGGCTGATATCTTTGGGGAAGCTGAGAGGAAGAGTTGGCAGTCTGCCACGCCGCCAAGCAATGCTGGTTTACAGTGAGATTCTTCAACGCAGTGTGGTGGTGAAACTGAACGAACTTCTACTCTATAAGACACTGACACTTTCAAAAGGGTTAACCAGAAACCCTAGTAGTTGGACTAAGAGAACCAAGAAGGGAATTGCCGGGCATCATTTAGTGCAATTATTTGTGGGTTATTAATTAGTCCCTTCAGGATTTTCTTGAGTTGTTTGGCTTTTAAGAGAAAGTAGAGTTGTCTGATCATTGTTGCTCAAACTTTTTAAAAAAACTCTTTTGCTTAGTGACCTGCTCCTGTAAACCATGACACTAAAGTTAGGAGAGACATGTCAAACTTCTACAATCCCATTAAAAGAAGCTGCAAAAATTATGGTTTTTCATGGCAAACACCCTTTGCCTGGGTAACGCCGACAGACCTAGGTGAGCGATATTGAACCTGTAATCTCTGGAGCTTAGTGCATGAGCCTCTACTGCATGAGCTAAAGCCAACTGACTGTTAGTTAAGACTGCAGCGTAGACTCGTTAATGTTTCTCTCTAAGTGGTCTCGGTGTCACTAGATGGGGCAGAACACCACACCCAGAAGGTGGGTTACACCTGTCTTAACCAACACAATCCTCTTACCTTAGTATCTGGCTTTAAGGGCACTCACTGGTGAACGTGCAAATAGAACTCCAGATCTGGCTTCTCTGAGAGAGCTCTGATGATTCAGCAGTCCATACTGAAACTTGGCAATATTTCCAGCCTGCTCTTAAGCATGGGAAACCTGTAAATCGAATGAAAGGTCATTCACTGCGGCTCATTCAATGAGATTTTTCACAGATGTGTCTCAAGTCGACAAAGACACTGGCCAAAATCCATAAAGGTATAACTCTTTCTGATCTTAAATCACTTTGTTGGTTTTTGGTTTTGGATTGTTTTTTTTTTTTAAAGTCACAGAAGCATATGAAGTTAACTCTAATCTGAAGGTAAATTTCTGGGAACTTCCAGGCTTTGGACAGGGCTTTGGCAGCTGTTGCTTATTAATTTTATCTACTGCATAGTTCAGCTTCTCAGCAAATGAGAGCCTTGTAGGATTATCTGCTGTATTTTCTTTGATGCTTCCAAAGTGAAGCACTGCTATTTCTCATGCTGTCAAATGTGACTAGGTCACCCAAAGTGAAAGGCCAGCCACTGACTGTGCGCTCAGTCTTCAGATACACTGTAGCAGAGCTTGGGCCCTCTGTGGGATGGAGGAATAAAGGTGATGTATGCCACCTTTCTGCCCTCCCCTCAATCCTGGAGGCTGTTTGGCCTCTGACATAATCTACAACAATCTCAGGGCTGTTCAGAATTGCTGTGGTTTGTGATAGCCTTGTAGAGGGTTGTCATGCCAGCTGGGTATCCCCAGAATATAGCATACTCTGGGCATGCTTGCTCCTTTCCTCAGTACACCCCTAATGTGCCCCTATACTGGGAAGGAAGGGGGTTGGTGGTGTTGGCTCTATGCTTGCTGAGATTTCTCCATGCTGTAGGAATCCCCAGTTGCCCATTTAGAGCAGCTTTAAATCCTCTTAGCACAGACTGCAATCTGGCTCTGAAAGGTCACTATAAGGAAGAATATTTCAGACATCAGTGTGCTGTTTGAAACTGACAAAGGGATCACTTTAAAAGGATATAGGAATGATGTGAAATCACAAATTCTAGCCATAAGTTAAACTCTGCAGAAGTTCCAAAGCCCTTAGCTGCTTTGTTCTACACACATGAGTGACTTTGATAGGATTGTGCAGAACTCACATTTGCCCCCCTCAAAAAAAAAAAAAAAAAAAAGCCTCCCCAATCAGATTAAATTTTCCCCCTCCCCACAACCTGTATTCCACCTCTCCACACACAGCTCCTAAAAAGCTAGGTAAAATAGATAAACCTTGCAGTTTGCCCTCAAAGTAACACAGTCTGGGAGCACCAGACAAAGGAGAGGAGGAAACAAATTCACAGGGACTCTCCTGGCCTTGCTCTTTGATTTCTGAATAAGGTTTCATCCTATTAATTGTCTCTGGCCAGGTTTGAAAAATGGAGAGGGTCTAGGTGGCTTAGGGAACTAATAAGGATGCTACTTCTCACTACTACGCAAATGGTTTGAAGCCAGCCCTCATTTGTAGTGACCAAAAGCTGTTACAATCTTATGGCTGGTTAGTGGTCTTTATGAAATGGTTGGTCTGAGTTCAGTTTTCAGTGGGCCATGAAATCCACTTCAAGCGCCACCAGTGTGGCTGATCTCAGGTCAGAGACAAATGCATGAATGGGAATGGAGACTGAACTACTTTCTTCTCCTGTGAAGGTCCCTCTAGGGAAGGTTTGAGGCACGCTGGTATGAGAGTACATGAAGAAGCTTGCACTGTGGCTGCCTGTGGTGAACCTCTTCTGGACTTCAGACTCCAGGACAATCAATCCTATGCCTCTCACAAGCCCTCCATTCTACAGAATGTTTACATCCCATATTTTAAAAATGGGATCTGTTTATAGCACATCTGCACCAGAGATAGCAGTTACAATTTAGTAAATAACTCCCTGCTTCTCCAATCTGTTGCAGAAAGAAGACAAGAAGGGGCCACCTTCTCTTCAGACCTGCAGGGAGAAACTGCTTGTGACTTGGTGACCGCCTTTGTGTGACAGGTTAGTGTGTCATTAAACACAACGATTGGTGTATTTCTCCTGATGTCAATTATTCTGGGTTTCTGAAAGTCCAGAGTCCTTAATATCCCATGGAGAGTCCTGAAAATCCATCCTACAAACAGAATCCCAAGAAGCATGTTTTGTCCATGTGTTGCTTTGTGCCTGTAGGACTAGACTTATTTCCAGAGGCTAGTGACATGTGATGGTCTCCTGCCCTTTTGTGAAACTTTAAAGGAAGTCAGAAGAAGATTTTGTTCCTTATTGTGGTCTCTCTCTGACAGCCAGAAAGGAACTTGTTTTTTCTTCTGATTCCCTTTTCTTCCCCTGAAAGTTTCTGCGGCCCCTGCTCTGTCATTTCCAAACTCCTTTGTGCGCTGGAGGAATGAAATGAATAGCAGGGAAGATCGTTGAAAGGGTTTTGATTTTTTTATCTCAAAAGCTCATGGCTTAAAAAACTGAACCGGAAATCTCTAAGGACTAGACTGCGAGTTGTATTAATCTGAGCAGGGACAAATGCTGATTGCTGGTATCGGTGTGACTGACTGGTTTCAAAAGCAGCTGCAGCTTCAAATTTATTTACTGGGTTCTAACAAGTTTTCTAAAACAATGCAATGAGCTGCTGGTCTCTAGGAGTTAGCAGCAAGATGTAGTAACCAGTGTAGGGGGCATTCGTGTGGAATTAAGGGCTAGCTCATGTTCTGGATAGGTTGTTTTTGTTTTAGGAAGACACTGTCTAAATCAGTATGGAATTTCTTTTAAAAATATATCAGTTACATAATATGGACTTATCCATGTACTTAACTTAATGGATGTTGGGAGCCCCATGGAGTTCAATAGGAATACTTAATTTTATATATGTAAGCACATACATATATATTTGTGGGATCAAGGCCTTAGAGATTTAACCCTTAGGCCAAGATTTTCAAATTTGGGTGACTAAAGTTAACAATTGGGTTGATTTCTAAGAGGTGCTGGGCTGTCACAATTCTGATCAATGCCAATGGGAACTGAGAGCCGAACACCTCTGAAAATCAGGCATCTTTTTGGATGCCTAAAATTAGGCATATTTGAAAAGCGTGGCCTTCCCCTTTTAAAGTGTGTATGTGCTTGCAGCATTTCTTTTCTCTGTCATGAGTTTCCCTGCTGTAAGGAAGGGGTAACCACAGTAGGCCATATGGGAGCAGGGAGGGAGTTACCAGCTCAGCTTCAAATCCATTTGATATCTTTTTCATTCGCCAGTACCTGCCACTAGCATTTCTGTGTTAGACATATAGAGATTGGTCGTCCAAAGGCATTTCAAAAACGCCTCTCATAGATTTCGCTCCATTTTTAATTGTCTAAAACGTGTGACAAGTGACGTGACTAACAGTAGCTGGCTCTTCAAGTTGGCACAGATGAAAACTGAATCAGGATGCCTGAACTGGAGGTTCTTAGCTCTATCCTTGTCTGTTGTCACATGCTTAGCTGTAATCTTGAATGTCTCCTGAGACGCTCAGTTTTTTCCAGTAACTATAGTTTGTCCTAGTGATATTTCTGTCACCCAGGTTGGCTGCTCCTGTGTGCAATAATTTAATTCAGTCGCACATGTAAGGTGGGGGAGGCGCATGAGAGTAAGGGTCGGGTCTCCAAAAAGCTTATATGTTGGCTCAGCTCCCTATAACAAGAGGCCAGCTGTCAGTTTTAGCGCTGGAACTCCGAGCTCATGAGTGTTTTGATCTTGGGTTTAGTTAAGTGCTGTACCACTAAATTATTGAAGGCCCAGATTCTATAAACATTTCAGCACATACCTTATACTTTACTGACGTGAATATCCCCATTGAAGTGAATAGAACTACTTGCATGAGTCCAGTTACACACCTGCTTAAGTGCTTACATAATAAGAGCTGTACTTTGTACGTCTGAAGGTGACAAGCACACAGCTGATTTTTTTAAATTCTCTTTTGCTCACATTTGATGACAGCTTCTTAAAACTTTATGAATTAGACTATTTTCCTCACTCGTGTATCTTTATCTCGTGTGCACAATGATTTGCTATTGTAAAGTTGAGCTATATTGACACTAATATTAGTGTGTGTTGCGTAGAGAAATTAACTGAAGAAAAACGAACTATTTGGAGGGGTGGGGGTGTTCTGGTGAAGTAACCACATCCTGCAAAGGGAATTAATTACACGGATACTGCAAAATCTTGTAGAGAAATCAAGTGGAGGAGTTAAATTTTGTGCCCATATCGTGTTCCTTTTAAACCTTTTATTCACTTAGGAATAAATATCTACAATCACAGCAGTGTAAGTCTGGAGTAGCTGCACTGAAGTCAATGGAATTACTCCAGAGTTACATGAGTGTGACAGAGCAGAATCAACCCCCAAGCAAGTGCAACAGCTGCCTCTAAACACAATACCTGTATAACCAATTAATCCCAATTGTGAGCATTTCTACTCAACTTCAGCTTTTTAAAAATGTCAAATTGTCAGCTTCTAATTATTGTAATTAGCTTGCAGATTTCTTGAGGTGCCGTGATTGAAGACTGGCTCTTTAAATTTTCTGTTAATTTAAATAATGTTTATTTAATTCATTCAAATATAAGTTTTCAGTCAGGCTTGATGCTAAAATTAGCTGCTGGACTACAAAATCCCCTCAACAAATGTCACCAGTCCAGACACAAAAAGAGGGGGGAAAAAACCCCCAACCTTGTACTCTGAAATCCATATCTTACTCTCTTTTTTTAAAAAAAACATGGTCAAAGGGAAATTCTCTGGGAATTTCCCAGGAAGTGGAAGGGAAACTTTATTTATGAAACTAATGACAGACTGCTTTCAAGCTGACCAAAGTCTAGGCCATGGAATATTTTGTTAGCTTTTTTTTTGTATGAAACTGAATGGATAATGGCTGGGAGGAAGTGTGCCATGCTCCTCTGGAGATTTTCACTCCCTTGAACTGCAACCAAGTTCCAATACTGGGCTTCCTTCCGCAAAAACAAAGCAGTGACCAATTATTGTTGCTCCTTTTGCCAAGTGGGTAGCCAATTTGGGGACTTTGCAGTGGGCTAGCTTCTTTTTTGAGGAGCAATTAGTCACACAAATTCCCCATGTCTTTTCTCCTAGTCTAATTTTAGTT